AAAAAAAAAACATAAAAATATTATGGGCCTAGATGGGCTGGGTTGGGCCGGGCCATTATGGGCCTAGACGGGCCGGGTTGGGCCGGCCCATCATCGGCTTAGCCCGGCCTGACACATGATTTTTCATAGGTCATGTCGGGCCGGCCCATGAACTAATATATGTTGGCCCAGCCCACCAATATTTATAGGTTGGGCTGTGCCTTAAACAGTGACAGGCTATGCCGGCCCGGCCAGTTACTGTGTCAAGATGGGTCTGGACCGGCCTATTGTTGCATCTCTATTCCTCTCCCTCTCTCACCTTCATTGGTTCCTTTCTCCCTTTCTTTATTTCTCCACAGCCGCTTCAGAATTTACAGAAATCTGGTTACTGAATAGCAATGGCGCGATTGTGAGATCTCGTCACTGCTGGTGGCGAGGATGATGAAATCTAGACGGATAGTCAAAAGTTGACATCGCTAGAACCTCGAAGAGATTTGAAGGAGATGAAGGTTGTCAAGACATCATTGGCGAACCAGAACCGCACGCGAACCAGATCCCGTGGTGAAGGTCGCGACATTAGCATCAGAGCCAGAGGAGATCGATGAGTAACTAATGGGCAATGGCGACCACAGATTGTCAAGATTATCGCGCCGTGGTGGATTTCAGTCGGGATCCCCGTTCACAACTTCGATCTCTTTTTCTCCCTCCCAGTCCATCTCCGTTTTTCTCTCTCTGATTCGCAATCAAATTATGGCAACATCGCGATCGTCTATTCTCCGGTGCGATCTCATCTTCTAAGGAGAAGACCACTCGAACAAAGTCAGATCCAAGCGAAGATATTCCACAGACATCGTGATCGTCGATTCCAACACGATCTCATCGTCTTGAAGCTGGATCTTATCATCGCCACTCATGTGAGCCAACGATCTGCAAATTCCGATTCATGCAAGCATCATCGGCGGTGAGGCGAGGAACATGGAGATTTGTGGATTCTCGAGAACATGTAATGATTTTGATTTTGTGGATAAATATAGTATTTATAATTAAATATGGTATTTATCGATAAATACAGTATTTAGCAGTTGTCGAAGCCGAATTTTCAGATAAATATGATAAATATAGTATTAACAGTAAATATGGTATTTATTGCTAAATATGGTATTTAACAGTGATCGGAGCCATCTGTTAGATTTTCAGATAAATACAGTATTTACTAGTATATGTGATATGTATAGGTAAATACGGTATTTTACCAGTCTCTGAAACTAGTCATTGGATTTTTAGATAACTATGGTAAATATGATATTTACGAGTGAATATGGTATTTACCTGTAAATATGGTATTTACTAGTCGTCGGAGCCTGTCGCATGATTTATAGATAAATATGATAAATACGGTATTTACCAATCGTCATAGATGATTGTCGGTGATGGTTACAAGAAAATGGCTGTCGGTTGCCGAAAAATAGTCAACGGTTGCCAGAGCTGGATATGATATTTACCGGTTAATATAGTATTTACTGGTAAATATAATGTTTAATAGCCGCCAAAGTTGGTGGCGAGATCTTTAGATATATATGGTATTTACCGGTAAATATTGTGTTTACGGGTAAATACTATGTTAAACGGTCGCTAGAGTCGGTGATTGAATTTTCAGATAAATATGATATTTACTCGTAAATATGGTATTTACTAGTAAATACAGTGTTAAATGGTCGCCGGAATCAGTGCCCAAATTTTTGAATAAATATGATATTTACTACTATATACGATATTTACTGGTAAATATAGTGTTAAACGACCACTAAAGTCAGTGGCCGGATTTTCAGGTAAATACGATATTTACTATTAAATACAATATTTATTGATAAATATGATATTTACCTGTAAATACAGCATTAAACGGTCGTCGGAGTCGGTGGTCGACTTTTTGGGTAAATATGATATTTACTAGTAAATATTGTATTTATCAGTAAATACAGTGTTAAACGACCGTTGAAAAACAATCACTAGTTACTAAAAAACGATCATAAGTTGCCAAAAAATAATCTCCAGTCGCCGATCCCAATCATCATGGACTTGACTATCATCTACTTATTTTAAAAAAATATGTTATAATTTACTACTTTTTAAAAAATAAATATTTAAAGAAAAGAGATGTAGAAAAAGAGGTTTAAGAAAATTTTTGAGTTTTTAATAATATTTAAAAATTAAAATATCAAATTATGTTATAATTTATTATTTTTTTAAAAAATATGTTATAATTTATTAAGGGCTTGTTCGGTTGTATTTTTTAGTTATGGTGACTTGAGTGTAGATTTTGAATTAAATTTGAGTTATAATTTGAGTTGAATTTGTATTTTGAGTTTGTGTTTGAATATGCACATTTGAGTTATTATTTGAATTAAGAATCTATTTGAGTTTGTGTTTAAGTGGGTCAAAACTTGAATTTGTATTTAAATAATATTTTAATAAAACTCAATGGTAATAAAAAAATTTTATAGGGTATATAGGTGGGATTTTATTCGTCTTTTCGTTGTGAACGTTTAGAAAAAAAAAATCATCTCAATCGGAATTAAAACGAAAAAGTTATGATGTTTTTAATAATAGAAAAAATATTATACATCAACTTGAGTTGGAGTTTAAGAATTTGAGTTCAAAGAGAAATTTTCATAGATTAGAACCATTTTTGATTTACGTGTATTTTTTGTGAGAGAAAATACTGTAGCGAACCACGAACCATGATTCGAATCAGGGAACGAATCTAGGTACCAAACATCCCATTAAACTCAGATTTTAGTCCCAAACTCAAGTTAAAACTCAAGTTCGAACTCAAATTTTATAAACAAACATGAACTTAAATAAAATTATAGTATTATTTATTTCACCGATTCAAGTTTAGAATTTGAGTTTTATAATAGTAAAAAACTCTCAGAACTAGTCACATCTAATTTTTTTACTATAATAAAAATTATCACATAAAATCACATCTGAACTTAAATTAAAAACTCAAATTAACGAACTAAACGAGCCTATAACTTAAATTCAAACTTTGGTTGAGTTTTACTCCCAAAAACAATCCTAATTAATTTACCGATTATGCTATTTGGCTCTTTATCCCGAAAATTAATAGGGTTCTCCGGTCGGCCCGCCCTCGCCCTCGCCCTCGCCCTCCTTCTTCGCGTTTCGCGCTTCACCACTCGCTCTTCTTCTTCTTCTTCTTCTTCTTCTAGGGTTTTGCATCCGACGGCGGGTGAAGCTCTGACGCTGGCCGACTGAAGCTCCGACGGTAAGTCTTTAATTCTCTCTCTGTTTCTTTCTGTTAGTCCTACATTTGTGTTTTTGTTGAGGGTATTTCATCCTTTATTATTTTCTTTTCTGAAACTGATACTCCAAATTGGAAAACCCTACTCACCTTTAGTTTTCATCTCTTTCAGTTTGACACTTTCACTTATCGGCTCTCTCTCTCTCAGACTCAAACTCACAACCTTTGCCCAGTGATCTCCTTCTCCGTTTTGTCTCCTCGGCGTCTCTGAGTGAGGGTCTCCTTGCTTCTAGTCAACTCTGATTCTGGTGAGCGTTATTCTTATCTTAATTGTTGATAACTCTGTTTGTTTCCTCGTGGATTTTCCATTGTTTCGATTTTTTGTTTCAATTTTTTTTTGTTCAGAGTGTTTTTTGGTGATGCGGCTTGTTTGATTGCCGAGAAACAAACAAAAGCATTCGATGCAGAGTTGAGTTTTTTGATTGTTGTGTGTGTCAATTTTCTTTTTAACTTTTATAATTTTTTTTTTCCATTTGTTTCTGTCTCACAAATGAAGTTTAAAGGCAAATCTCGAAATCTTCTCTGGTTGATCGAGTCAGTTATACTCATGAGAGAGAGAGAGAGAGAGAGAGAGAGAGTAGGATATTAGGAATTGGCCTTGCTAGGCTTTTGGCCTTTTGTGCTTTAGTCTAACCCCCTAGTGAGGAAAAAAAAAAAGGGGGGACAATTAAAGTAGGTGAGAAAAATCATGCTAGCGCCCCAATCTAACAAGGACTGATTTGATGACTTGCTGTTATATGGAGAGTAACACAGCATAATCTTTTATTTCATCTACATGTATTGGTGCTATTATGCTATACGAAGTATAAAAGGAAATTTGAGATTCTTGTATTTTGCTCTACTTTGTATGAGGTTGCTAAGAAAATCTTACATTTTATCTTCATGTATCAAGTTATTAATTTCATACATTAGATAAACAAAAATATCTATATCTCTGTAAATTTTCCATGATATGGGTGGTTTTCATACGCCTGAATCCTGATATTTTTTTCCGCTCTTATTGGCAATCAAAACCAGACAAATGGAAAAGACAAGCATACTTGTGGCATGTGGCCTTACCAACATGAAGCTATTATGATTTACAAGCACTTGTCATCAAGAGATTATACGGGTACAATTGATGCGGAATCAAGAATTTATGCAAATACGAAAGCCAGGGAATAGAAATCAGGTAATACTATCCCTTGATCATTAAAAAAAAATCTATGTATTGTTGTTTAACATGGTAATTTTGAGGCTAGCCCTGTTTTTGGTAATTGTCTAATTGACGTGCTAAGCCCTTTAAACTACAAGTGATGTCATATTAGTTAAACTGCTATTTCTCTCCATTTGTAGATTTGACTTTCATGTTCCTAATTTAAGATAATAAGAAAAAGAAAAATCATCGCGTGTTTAACACCATCAGCAATATGAAGCTTATTCTGTTTTTTCATCAGTTATCTCTGTTTTTTTTTTTCCCCCTAAATTACCGTTGCAATTTGAAATGCCAATTTTAACGCAATCAAGAAGTTGCTCAAAGAAAGAAATTATATCTTGGAATTTGTAGAGCATACAGTCTAATTAACTCCCAATGTTTCCAATTCTTCATTTTTATTTGTCCACCATCTTGTGTTGGTTTCTTTAACTTGATATCATATATTTATAATCTCTCTGTATCTATCCTCAATCCATGTAGTATTTTGATTAGCAAGAAATTGTATTGATGGCATTCATTTTTTTTTTAATGTTTGTATTGTACAGAGCAGTTAACAAATCAAACCTCCTCCAAGTTTGGAAGTGTGAGAAAGTGGGAGACTTAGAGTTGATCTTGAGAGGAAAATCAAATCAAATTCAGATTGAGATGAGATGAGCCAACAACAGCCTCATTGTCAAGCCACTATTATCATGCCTGACGCTCAGCCTCTGCCTCAGCTCTCATTTCGGGCTTCAGCCTCCATGCCCCAAACTCAAACTCAAGCTCAAGCTCAAGCACACACTAACTATGCGGATCAAGCTTTGATCCCTTTTCCTACTCCTCAACCTCCCGCTCCGGCTCTAGTAAGTTCTTCTCGTACGTCTTTTGTATTTCTTCCCATCTTTTTCCTTTTCTGTTCAATTATAGGTTCATGCAATAATGCAAGCAATGGATTATCTTTTTAGGGTTATGGTTTTTTTTTTTTTTTTTTTTGACTTCCTTTATGCTTTTATTTTAGGGCTGTATTTTTTTGTCATTTGATTTCCTTTTCTTTTTTCTTTTTACTTTTTCTGTGAGGTAGGCTATTTATAGTTCTCTGTGTCTTCTCCCCTTTTTGGGTTAATGAAACAATGGATTTTAGACCACTGTTAATGAAAGCTTAACCAGTGTCTTAAAGCACTTTGGTTTGCTTAATTTTCAATAAGTTGCTGAAACAAATGATTTGTTATTCTTTTTATGCACATAGTTCATCATATTGCTTACATATGTATCTTGAACAATATAAATAGGCAAACTTAAACATCTAATGCACAAGAATCGCCTACAAGAATGCACTCACAAGTTGAACATACCATTGCCCATTTATCAAATCGTTAATGAAGGATTTCAACACGCCCCACAGTTTAGAGCAACTGTATTAGTTGATGGTGCCAAATATACTTCTCAAAAGACCTTTTCCACCTGTAAAGCTGCTGAACAAGACGTTGCCAAACTTACGCCGAAGTATATATCCCAGAAAAAGCATGATGATGGTTTTCCATGGGGATTTCCAGATGCATTGCCTCTTATTCACAAGGTTAGATTTTTTTTTTCTCAATGAATCTCACATAGCATTTTCTCTTTATCTAACTACTTTTTCTTCCTCAATCAGTGCTCTTGAAATGTTTATGGTAAAATGTTTGACAACTTTTCAAGTTTCCTTTAATCAAAGAAAAAAAGTGAAGGTTGCAAACTGTGTTCCATACGTCATTGAAAATTAAACAAAGCTCCTTTAATATTTTATTTTTGCACCTAGTCCCAAGTCTTGCATTTTACTATTGCTTGCCAGGTGAAGGGGAAAAAAAAGAAAAAAGAAAATGCAAAAATGAGGTGCAACTTTCTAGTGGTTATTGTGGTTAATGCTAAGTAAGATTTTGTTTCCTTTTTGTATTTCTGAAAATTACACAAACTGTTCCATACTTATTTATTTTAGCAACTATTGGTCATTATCGATGTAGTGGTTTAACTAAACCGTTCTTGATTATTTTTCAGGACACAGTCTTTTGCAAGTCTATCTTGAATGAATTTGCTACTAAGATGAATATGGAAATGCCTACTTACAACACCATTAAACCCGAAGGATTGCTTCCGGTGTTCAATTCTTCTCTGGTTTTCAATGGTGTTTCCTACACTGGTGGCGCCGGTAAAAATAAGAAAGAGGCTGAACGATTGGTGGCTCGTACCATTATTTTGTCACTTTTGGGTACCTTGACTACATTAGTAATTACAATTTTGTTTTGAGAACACTTGATTCTTAGGAGAAAATGGTGTCTTCATGCGTGGCCATATTGTGGCTGACTAATTGAGGATATTGCAGGTGATTCTAGAATGGGGAGAGTTCTTTATGATATCATTAAATCTAAAGTCAAGCTCTATGCTGCGTTGCATAAGGTTAGTAACCTTAGCACTGTTCCTTCAATGGCAAACATGACGCATTGTTCTGAGGGCGTGTCTGGTAAAGATGTTGGAGCTGAAGCCAGTTTGGCTGCTAACAATGCTCTAACAGCTGCTAGTAGTCTCCCAACAGTTGTTGATAATGCTGCGGCTGGTGCCGTTCCCGACTCTGGAAATGGGGTGCCAACATGTAAAGTCCAGATAGTTGGGCCACAACCTTCTTTTGGAGTAAACAATCTACTTATGCGAGCCACTCAAGCAACTGAATTTCCAATTGCTGTTCCAGACTCTGGAAATAGGCCGCCAAAGCATGAATTCAAGGCACAAGAGCCAGAACATTCTTTTGGAGCAAACAATCAACATGAGCCAGCCTCCCAAGCAACTAAATTACCAATTCAATTTGTGCATCCAACTTCTGCACTCTTTATGGAAACTGGTCCAAGTTCAAAGAAGCGCCGTAAGAACAAGAAGAAGGCTAATAAGAGATTGTGCACTGGTGCTCATTGAGTTTTCTCTTCTTCCCCAAACTTTTACTTCTGGTGTACACCTAGTAAGGATTTAGTGTCCTGAGATTTAAATTTGCCTAAAAATATTTTTATTGCATAAGTAGATGAATTTTACTCTGCAGTTTGATTTGGAGGTCACTACACTTTCAAGTTTGTTGTGCTACTCATAAATATAATTACTGTAGGTTTCTAGGGCAAAAAAAATTGTATATTGCTCTATTGAACTACATTTACACGGCTTTTATAGGGAAAACATACCACCTAATTAGGTATAAAAATCCCTCAATTAAAGGAGATCTTTATTTTAAGGAATCTCTTTTATTTAGATAAATAAACTACTTTTCGAATCTATCTCACAACTCCTAATTGACCGGTTTAAATGGGAAACAATGTCAAACATCCTAGTTTCTTTATTTCTACACTTCTCTTCAAGTTGGTGCATAGATATCTGTCATGCCCAACTTGCTAATAAGAAACGCAAAGCTTGGTCTGAATAATCCCTTTGTGAGAATATCTGCTACTTGTTGCAATGTTGGAATGAAGGGCATACAAATAGCTCCAGTCTCGATCTTTTATTTTATAAAATGCTTGTCAATCTCAACATGTTTAGTTATATCATGTTGGATTAGGTTATGGGCAATGCTAATGGCTGCCTTGTTATCACAATACAACTTCATAGGCAGTCACTGGTCTTCTCAGTTCCTCCAAGATCCGTTTAAGCCATAACATTTCACAAATTCCATGTGCCATTGATCTATACTCTGCTTCAACACTACTACGAGCCACAACATTCTGCTTTCTGCTTTACTAGGTTTCCCCACATAAATGTACAGTAGGCTGATGTAGACCTCATATCTGAAATAAACCATGCCCAATCTGCATCTGTGTAGGCGTCAACACCTCGATGCTCGTTCTTTCCAAAGAAATAAGTCTTTTCCTGGAGAATTCTTCAAGTATCTAAGGATACGGTAGACTGCTTCAAGATGTTCCTCATGAGGAGAATGCATAAACTGACTTACTAGGCTCACGGCAAATGCTGCCTGGCAGTGCATGTGACAAGTAAATTAGTTTTCCCACTAGCTTCTGATATTGAGTTGTATCTACTGGTTTTCCTTCCTTGCTCCCAAACTTATGATTCGGATCAATGGGTGTTTCGGCAGGACGACATCCACTCATTTTAATTTCTTTAAGTAAATCCACCACATTTCCTTTGAGACACCGCAATTTCCCTTTTTGACCGAGCTATCTCCATACCAAGAAAATACTTTAGTGAACCCAGATCTTTGATTTCAAACCCAGAGGCTAGGCACTGTTTCAACCGCTCCATTTTTGTCACGTCATCCCCAGTAAGAATAATGTCACCAACATAAACTATAAGAACAGCTATCTTCCCACCAGCTGAGTACCTTGTGAACACGGTGTGGCCTGCCTGTCCCTGAGCATATCTTTGTTTTTTTACAAACTGAGTGAACCTCTCAAACCAGGCTCTCGGTGACTATTTTAAGCCGTACAGGGATTTTCTTAGTTTGCATACCTTTGAGCCAAACTTCTTCTCAAAACCTGGAGGTGCATTCTTCACATCTAGTTGTTGAAGTCACCAGTCTAGATTAGCTACAATTGTTAAAAGCACTATGACAGTATTCATCTTTGCCACGGGTGCAAAGGTCTCAAGGTAGTCAATACCATACGTTTGAGTGAACCCCTTAGCCACCAGGCGAGCCTTGTATCTTTCTAAGGATCCATCGGATTTAAACTTGGTTGTGAACACCCATTTACAGCCAACTGTCTTCTTTTCAGCTCCATTGCCTGCCACGTTCCATTTTTTTCAAGAGCCCTCATTTCTTCAAGAATAGCTTCCTTCCATTCAGGAACCTCTAGAGCATCCTACACATTCTTTGGAATCTCCCACTAGATAATTGTGAGACAAACGCAGAAAACACTGGGGACAAATTTTTATAGGTAACAAAATTGGGCATTGGATACTTGACACAACTTCTGACACCTTTACATTGAGCAATTGGAAGGTCAAGTTAAGACACAGGTGCAGACTCTTGATGTAGAGGATCTATGGGAGTAGGTACGGACTGACTAGACTCTTGATGAGGAAGATTTATGTGAGTGGGGGCTTTATGAGGATTAGCTGGAACATCAATAGAATTCTAAATGATCTGAGGTGTACTCTTGACAATGTTGGGAGGTGTCAGTCTTATTTCCTTGCTTCCGGTTCCTTCTCGAGTAGACAAGTAGCTTTTTTGTACCTGCTTGTTCATTATTTCCATGTTTACTAATATTATGAGATGGCTCTATAGTTCCAGCATCCAAGTTTTCATTAGTCAAATCACTAGGTTCCACATTTATTAAGAAATTTAGACTTTGAACATTATCAGATGTGCCAAGGAAATCCAGAAAATCAAAATAATCTTCACTTAGGCTCTCCCCTTGAAGATGATTATCAAAAAATGGTTGATCTTCAAAGAAGGTTACATCTAAAGTAACAAATATTTTTCTTGTTCTCGGATTATAGCATTTATACCCCTTTTGGTGTAGAGCATAGCCTACAAAAACACTTATGAGCTCGAGGATCTAATTTTTCCTGATTTTGGTCATGTATATGGGTAAAGGCACTACAACCAAATACTTTCAAAGGTAAATCAGATATCAATCTTAAAGTTGGAAAGGCATCTTTAAAGGTATTAAGTGGAGTTTTGAAGTTCAAGATTTTTGTAGGCATGCGGTTTATGAGGTATGTTGCAGTTAAAAGTGCTTCTCCCCAAAGATACTTAGGGACATGATGAGTGAAAAGTAGTGCCCTTGTGACTTTTAAGAGATGTTTGTTTTTACGTTCTGCTATCCTTTTTTGTTGGAGTGTATCTGGGCATGTGCTTTGATGTATTATCCCTTTTTTTGAAAAATAATCCCCTAGGACTTCATTAAAGTATCCTCTCTCATTGTCACTTCTGAACACTTTGATTGTTTTCCTGAAACTATGTCTCAACCATTGTATAAAACACTTTAAAAATCTCTTTTACCTCAGATTTATCCTTTAGTAAATAAACCCAACTAAGCCGTGTGTGATCATCAATAAAACTAACAAACCATTTTTTGCCAAACATTGTTGTGACTCTAGATGGTCCCCAAACATCACTATGAATTAACAAAAAAGGTTTTGAAGCTTGATATGGTCTTGAAGGGAAAAAAGAGCGATGATGTTTTGCCAATTCACATATTTCACATTGAAAAGAAGATGGACTTTTATTTCGAAATAAATCAGGTAACAAGTGTTTCAAGTAATAAAAACTTAGATGTCCTAGTCTATAATGCCAAAGCATAACATTATTAGAAACAGAAATAGAGTTCAAACAAGTATTTTGAACTTGCTGTCCAGAGTTGGTTCCATCTTCAAGGATATAGAGTCCGCCACTTTTCCTAGCACTGTCAATCGTCCTCCCCGAGACCATTTCTTGAAACTCAAACCGAGAGGAGTTAAAAACAGTACAACAATTGAGAGTATTAGTAATTTTACTAATTGACACAAGATTACAAAAAAGGTTAGGGACATGAAGGACATCATGCAAGATTATAAAGGGATTTATCCTGACAGTTCCTATTCCAGCAACTGCCGAGAATGAGCCATCAGCGATTCTTGTCATTTTATTTCCTGCACATTGAGTATAGGTGGAAAAAAACTGGGAACAGCCTGTCATGTGATCAGTAGCCCCTGAATCTATGATCCAGAAACTGTTTTGACTGGGGCTGCTGCTAGAAAAAACCGAGACAGGGATAGAGACAGGTTTACCTGTTTGGACAAAGGAACAGGAAGAATTTGATGGGTTTACTCGGAACTGAGGAGATTGGAGAAGTTTGTGCAATTGCTCTAGTTGGTCATTTGTGAAAGGAAGCGATTCTGGAGTACTTTGTTGCCCCTGTTCTTCAGTGGATACTTGGAGTGCCCGATTGTCTGGAGCATTCTTCTTCTTCCAATTCGGAGGCTTCCCATGGAGTTTCCAGCAATTTTCCCGTGTAAGCCAATGTTTCTTGCAATGATCACACCACGGTTTCTTCTTCCTGTCATTCTCCGATTCATTCCTTGAAACAAAGGCCGAACTGTCATTGATAGCACCAGTGGCTGGTTTCACCTCAGAATCGTTTTTCAACATAACCTTCCTCCTAGTCTTCTCTCCTAATCTCAGAAAAAGCCTCTCGAAGTGTAGGCAAAGGTTTTTTTTTCCAAGAATCCTAGACCTAACCTCATCAAATTCCTGGTTTAGGCCTGCTAAGAAAAGATACACCCGGTCACTCTCTTCCATTTTCATAAACCTAACACTATCGGTTGGACAATCCCATTCATCATTGTAGCATTGATCTAATTCTTGCCACAAAGACACCATCTCATTGTAAAAGACAGTCACTTCACGTTCACCTTGCCTAGACTTCCACAACTTAATTTTTAGTTCAAAAATTTGTGAAAAATTTTCGGCATCGGAATAGGTTTCCCAAACTGCCTCCCAAACATCTCTAGCGGTGGGGAGAAAAAGGTACGATTTACCAATCATTGGCTCTATGGAATTGATCAACCAGGCGATGACTAATGAGTTCTCAGATCTCCATGCACTCAGCTTCGAATCTTCAGCCTTAGGTCTCTCCATGTCTCGAGTCAAATAGCCTAGCTTTCCCTTGCCGTCGATAGCCAGCTTCATGGATTGCGCCCATTCCAAGTAGTTCTTCCCATTCAATTTATGGAGCCGCTGGTGGTTCAGTATGGTTCGCCAGTATTATAACTCTCTGCCTTAGATGAAGCCGAGGATCTCCTTTCCTCTGTAGCCACCGTTTCAACCATCAAGGACAGGACGGCTCTGATACCATGTAAATTTCTAGGGCAGAAAAAATTGTATATTGCTTTATTGAACCGTACAACATTTACACGGCTTTTATAGGGAAAACATACCACCTAATTAGGTATAGAAATCCCTCAATAAAGGAGATCCTTATTTTAAGGAATCTCTTTTATTTAAAAAAATAAACTACTTTCCTAATCTATCTCACAACTCCTAATTGACCGGTTTAAATGGGAAACAAGGCCAAACATTATACTTTCCCTTATTTCTACAATTACTTTTTCTCTTGATGTACTTTTTCAACTTCTAGCGATAGTAGTAAGCTGATGGAATTGTTTGAGTAGGATATTAGTTTCGGTTCTTGAGTCTAAGCTTGCAGTTGGTCACTTGTTCCTAATTTTTTAACATGATTACTTGCCTTCCAAAATCTATGGTGTTGAACTGTTTTAGGTCCTGGGGACCATAAATAGATAGATAGCAGCTATGCATGTTATGAAAATTTATATTCTGCGCCCTTTTCGAAGGTTAATGTTTGGGAATAGAGTGCATTTTCAACACGATAGCACGAATTTACCAGTCCACCGTTTCTTTTGAACCACTGATTTCTCATTGTGTTAGCTTTAATAATCATATTCCTTCTAGTTCATCGCTACGGCCTCTAGGTTGGAGCAATATCCATCTAGACACTGCGTTGTGTTGGGATGAAATAGTACGTGTCCTGCATGGACAAAATTCATATGGATGTTTGCTTTTATGATTAGAAGTTGTCCCCAATTTGAACCTAATGGTTGATGAGGCTCATGCCATAGGGTTGGCTCGCAAACTCAAGCAAGACTGCAATTGGTGGTAGATCATTGGGATAATGATCCAGCCATTGTTGTTTCTTAACTCACTTTTCGTGCGTCTAGCCGTTCACTCTACATTTCTCAGATTATAGATGTGGCTTGTCCTCTGCATCTGCACTTCTGTTTTGTGGAATTCTTCATGATCCAAGAAGCACCAACTCTATGTCCCATAATCTAACTAAATGTGTTTTAGCCATTAGTTACATTGACGTTCTCAGTATCTGTCTCGTTCTTATGGAGTGCAGAAAAATTTGATTGAGTCGTTGTCTTTCAGTAGCTTTTGTTATATCTCTCTTTTTTTCAGTTGCATGCTCACTGTGACTGCACTGCTGCCCTAGGTTCTAAATGCCCGGGAAATTTTAATGTTATCAGACTGTGGTAATGTTTTATGTGAACTATGCACATTTTCTGTATTGCTTTTTTCTTGGATACATACGCACACACGAATATATAATATTGCAGAATTGAAGTTGTCTAATTGGCGTTTAAATTTGCAGGTTGTCGATTGCTCCCATGCCTTTAAACCAAGCTCCACCTTGTTCAGTGGCACAATGACCGGAACCAGTGGGAACATGTATCAGTAGCATTTGGCGTGGATCAAACCTTTCATTTGTTTCTGCTGTATAATAAACCTTGTTTTCTCGGCCCGGCTATTGGAATCTTAACTATACCGGCTGCTTTGTCTTCCTTTTTATCCATTTTTGAACCGTTGCGCGTTTGTTGAGATCAGACATAAATCTGGAACGGCTTTATCTCCACCAGAATGTACTATTTCAGGTGAGATGGTCGTCTCCACCAGAATGTACGGATTTCAGATTTAAAATTGAAAGGAAAAAAAATACTATTTCAGGTGAGATGGTCTACCCTTAATTTAGCATAGCTCCGTCCTAACAGAGAGGTCATTGGAAGCATATCCTATTGGAATGAATAAAATGGATGGTTTGTTATGTTTGGCATTAGGATAATGGGAGATTGTACTCTGTTGAATCAGACTACAAAATAAAAAATGGAGAAGAGGAGGGGAAGGGCGGTTCGGGTAGTGTTCCTAAAACGATCAAAATACCAGTGTAGAGTAAAGAAGCTAAGGTTATAATGCCCAAAACGGGTCGTATTGTCCTTCGGTAAGCAAAGTTAAGGTGAATAATGATGGCTGCGGCTATGAGGGATAATTTTGAATGCAAAATGCCTTGCAGCTTGGAAAGCTAGGGATTCCCTTGAAGCTTTTGTAATTGATGATATTTTAGAAACTATTTATGTTGCGCGTCATGGTGAGGCTTTTTTTTTTATTTTTTTTTTACGTTTTTCGTGAATTTGTAATTCACTGTTTAGCTAGTTTCGCTCTTTTAATTCTGAATGTTTTAGTCTGGGTGGGTTGTTTGTCTTAATTTGGACTCTTCTGTAAAAGCATACATTTTTTGCTCTGTGGATGAATGCCATTTTCACGTAAAAAAATAAATTTAGCAATATTTTTTTTATTAATTACAAGTGGGGCTATCATCCCCTATTCTTGATTATCCAACATCACGAGATCTGCACTTGTTGATGTTTGAAAATGATAACTAGTTGCCTTGATTATCTTCTTGAGAACAATTGAGAGCTATAACAAGTGTAAAGCGTTTTCCAATTCAAAGATTGTTACATTTATATGCGCTCTCTGTCCCTTTTTTCATAAACAGGTGGCAGCAAGGGCAAAAAAATATATCAAAGAAAGATGTCCATTTTTTTTTTCATTGTATTCAAAATCATATAATAATATATCAAACAAGCCAGAACCCGATTTTTTTTTTTTTTTGGCATTATATTCAAAATCAATCTTTGTACCATGCTTCTAAGCATTATTATGGACAACTGTCTTTATGACCATGTTGTCGTTTTGCCTCAAGGGGGGAATTTGGTGTAGGTCGATCATATTTGCATTAGCTGTCTCTGTTGTGCCTATTTAAAAGGGGTGATGGATCCCAACAAAGGGTGAGGACCTACAACGTGGTGTTGAATGTTGATTTTTTATTTTTTATTTTTGGGTTTCTTTTGAGCTTTTATGGCAGCTGTATTGTTGATACAATTATAAAGAAAACGTTTTTTTTTTTTCTTTACTATTTTATTTCCCTTTTTTTGTTGTTTGGCAGACCAAAAAAGAGAGGACCATAATCATCAAACAATTTGAAGAGCTACTACCAATTAATTCTGTACATACCTCCAATGTTATGGGATCTTCACAAACCACCACTTTCATACACAAACAATAATCTCTTCATCTACAAGTAGGAAACAAGATTTTGAAAAGGAGGAACAAAAAAAAGGAACAAAAAGATCATCTCAACAACCTCCAACTGCCTTCCCCCTCCCGGTGTCCGACTGGCCCTTAAGTGCCGCCGGCGACATTAGCTCAGATAGACAAGCTCAATCAAAGAGTTGAAAGAATTTTAAGAATTATGATAATATATGCCTCAGATACTCGAATGAGTTCGTGTTAATTATGAACGTTGGTAGCCTCTGCTATTTGATCTTGAACCCGGATTGTCACTCCGGTCGGTATCTGAAAATTCCTTCTGGGAATCAATCTCCATGCTACCTGCTTGAGCTCTTCGGTGCCTTCGATCCTGAAAAGTAATAAGCATGGTTTTACTAAAAAATTTAGACCGGAATAAAGGTTGAAAGCTCCCAATGTTTGGGAGGTTAAACATGATAAGGATTAAAGAAGTGCACAAACAAATGTGATACACAAACAAATCAGCTTCAGCTATGAGACAAAGTCAAGTTCATCAACATAAGGTCAAGTGGAGTCCAACAGAAACTGTCATAAAGATAGAACAAGAAACTGACCTCTCTTGAGATAGGATACTCCTCTGACTCAAGCATACGGACAACTTGACCCATCTTGGGTCTTTTTTCAGAATCTGGATCAACACACCTCAATGCGGTCAAAAGGGCTCGTTTTAGGGCTCTTGTTGATGGCCTCACCTCAATGTTTGGGTCTACGACTTCTTCTGAGCGCCTGCTACCGACCATCATCTTCAGCCAATCTACCAGATTTACCTGTAAGTATGATTTGACCTCATGTCAAATGAATCTCCAGAAACAGGTAACAACCGGGCCAATTTCATTTTTTGCCTATCCTAACTTTGGCGTTCTTCTAAAAAGATTTGAACACAACACTAAGCGGAGAAAACGGAACTAAACTGGGTGCTACAGTTCATAATACCATAATTGGGGAAATGGGATAATGTGATTAATACCCATGATAGTAACAGTAACTAATCAGAAGCTAAGTCAAAGACAGAAACATGCAGGAATTCATTGATGACACATCAACGTCCAAAGTAGGTACCAAAATTGGACCAATTGCAAATTGTGCAGTTGAGTCTTCAAACAAATTTTCAAAGTGCAGTCGAAAAAAATTACGAAAATTGATTAAAGAAATTTAATAGGGTAGATAATCTTACATAGGATATTGCAAGACAGAAGCCAGACAGGCAATAGCAAGATTAAAATTGTAACATAATGACTTGGTCAAAATGGCTTGGACATTTGGGTCCGAGACTGAATTAAAGTTGTCCAAGCCATTCATATGCCAATTGGTCAAAATGATTAATTCAAGTTGTCATATTTATAACTCCATAACCACTAACCAGGCAAAGTATATCCAATAAATGAAAATAGGAGAAAGCAGCAAGAAGAGGTCAATTTAACAGAACAATCACAGTGATCTAAAATGTCTGTGCAAGAGGTAAATTACTAAATTCCAATCACAAATGCATACCAATAGGATACACAATACACCATCTAATTCTTAACTTTTGAGATGGCAAGATGAGATGAGCATAGCAATAGTTTTGACAAACTCTTTCATTAGCAGAAAACAAAATAAGAGCATACCTCAGGGGCAGGGCGACCATAGTCTACAGGATCTCTGCCAGTAATTGCTTCTAAAAGCACAACTCCAAAGCTATAGACATCGCTTTTTTCATTCAAAAGGCCGGTATTCGCGTATTCAGGAGCGACATATCTGCAAAATGTTGGGAGAGAACCAGGACATACATGAATATGGTGAACAATTAATCCATGTGAACCAGTTTAACGACTTACTCCGAATGTCCGGAATTGAAGAAGACAAATTTGAGGACAGGAAGAAACTGTCATGCTCTAGAGAGAAGAAAAATACTAACCCAAAGGTCCCCATAACACGAGTTGTCACATGACTTTTCCCGGCACCCAGCAGCTTGGCCAGGCCAAAATCAGATACCTTCGCGTTAAAGTCATCATCAATCAAGATATTGCTTGATTTGATGTCTCGATGTACCACCTTTGGCTCAATAGCCTCATGTAAGTAGGCAAGACTGAATCAAGTAGTTAAATGAAACGAGAACTAAGAACGCAATAAAACATATATATGTATATATATTGGAAATATATTTGGCAGCTTGAAAAGGATGAAGATAAGTTGACATACGCCTTTGCTGTGCCAAGAAGGACCTTCATACGGGCTTCCCAAGTGAGATATCCATGCTGACGCATAGCTCCATGAAGCCACTGCTCTAAATTTCCATTGTTTACATACTCATAAACCAACATCCTGAAATTGACATATTCTTCATTAGTAGACTATGGTGTCAAATACCAAAAGGCGAAAACTGATGATCAGGTCACCTCTCAAATTCAAGTGACTACTGACATATATATTCTTTTCATTAACAAAGTGATAAGTATTTCATAATCTTTGTAGAAAACAAATTTAGATTGAAGACATGAAAAGACAATTATAGAATACGCTTAGAAAAAACAGCAGTGGTACCTATGAGTGCCTTCAATACAGTATCCCAGAAGACGAACCAAATTCTTATGGCGCACATGGCCAATTGCTTCAACTTCCACTCTAAATTCTTTCTCTGCCTGGCCCCTGTAGGATTATAAGAGTTCAAGCTCAGACAAGCACTTGACAACAAAAATGAGAAGCATATCATGCCAATATCAGAATGTAAAAGTCTTTAAAACTTACAGGTTGTTGAGGATCTTTTTAACTGCCACTGGGGTTCCATTGATCAGATGACCCCGGTAAACAACTCCATATCCACCCTCACCAAGGACATTTTCTTTTGAAAACCGGTTAGTTGCGAGCTCAAGATCTCTTAATGTGAACCAATGCCCCCAACCCAAGTGCGAGAATTCAGGCAGGCCACTCAGTGGAGACGGTGCAGTTATTGGATACGAAGAAGATGGCTTATACACAGTCATAGAACCGGAACTCCCTTCTTCTCCTGATTGTGAACCAGCACCATCCTTATCAAAGCGGTTAAATGAACCTGACTGACTGCTATTCCCTCCATTCTTTGCCTTCCCCATTCCCAGATGGAGTAGAACCTTGTCCGACTCTTTGTCACTGGATTTGTCATGAATGGTAAGAAGAATTCCATCCCGCGGAACGAATTCAGTTGCAGCTACTTGCTCCACTCGAACTTCCTTAATTTCTTTCGATACTGTCGGGATTTGGCTAAGGGGAACCCTGTCCCTAGCTCTTCTTGATTTCTTCCGGGAAGTAAGACAAAGTGACAGCACAGAAAGGATAATTATAATAAATAGTGCAACAGCAATACCAATTACTTCCCAAACTTTAAGACCAAAAATGGCCGTTTTCTTGGATAACTCCGCATTGAGATCAGAAGCCATATTTTTTAAGTATCTGGTTGCCTATAAAAATTTGAGCAGGATATGAATGAAAGTTTTAATCAAAGCAACATCTAATATAAAAAGTTCTCACTTGTTCCACCTTTTACAAGAACCATAAAGAAATCTGATATCATTCCAAATCATTCACTCTTTATGAATACTATCCAAAGTTAACAGTTAACACGGTTACAAGCTACTTCTTTTAAGAATGAGATTCATTGACAACATAAACACGAACAGATCACAACACGTGTTAACAGTAAGATCCCATTATATCTTAGAGCAAGTTATTGGTCCATAATTAGAAAACCATTTCAACAAACAAAAACACAAACTTTAGCCATAAAAAAGGGCTAAACTGATAAACATAATAGAGACACAAAACGTTACAAAGAATATAGAAATGCGGATGATATAAGGAATTGATTATGTTGATGCTTACCTCAATGTGATGAGATTCACAAGGGCAAACCTTCAAAGCCCAGATCTCAAAAACTCCTTCAACATTCCCAATAACCCCAGATCTCTGACCAACCCAAAAGAAAAAAAGAAAAAAGCTCAAAACTTGAGCTAAGAAAAACCCATTTTGCTTATGAGAAAATCCAATTATATAGCCAACTTCTACAAGCTGAAGATATGAAAACCCTTTCTGGGTTTTCTTTGTGGGGCAAATGGGTGCCTGAATCTAAGCTGGGAAGGAGCTTTCTGGCACCAGACACAGCCCTGCTGAGACCTGTCAAGAACCCAAAACCAAATCCAAAAAAAAAAAAAGACAAATAAAAAGGTCTTGTGGCTCCTGACGACGTACAGGTACATGGAAATTCTGATATTATTCTTAGTAGTAGTGGGGGAAAATAAGAATAGTAAGAAAGAAAAGAAGAAATGGAGTTATCAGTGGTAGGTGCCCTTCCAACACATAAATAAGTTATGAACCCGTTCACTTCACGAATTAGCGTTATTATAATAAAAAGTTTAAAAAAATAATTATATTTAATTTTTTTATTATAATAAATTTTTTTTTTTACATAAAATCACAATTAAACAGACTCTGTATACATTATAAAAACATAATACAGTGAAAGAGCATGGAAGTCTAATGTAAAAAGGTCTCCTTGGGCTTTTTTTTGATTTGTTGTCAAAGATTACTGATTATATCAGTAATATTTATGGCTCATTTAGTACGCTGATTTAAATTAAGATGTGATTTTATATGAAATTTTTTTATTAGAATAAAAAAATTAAATTTTTTTATTAGAATTAAAAAATTAAATATGATTATTTTTTAAAATTTTTTATTATAGTAAAACTTAAATTTTAAATTTAAATCGGTAAAATAAAAAAAATGTTACTCTTTATTTTCTCTGTATTTGTTTTTTTAATTAAATTTATTTTTTAGGGTGGGTGTGTTTGACTGCTGTATTTGTATGTGTGTGTGTATAATGATTGTACAGCATAAAGGTTCTCCTTTTATTGGCTAATATTTTTTCTTTTGGGTTTTTTTTTTTGGTATTTTAATAATAATTCTCATGCTCTTTCCTGTTCCAATTGGAGCTGTGGTTTTCACTTTTGATATCTATTTGGTGAGGCATCTCAATTGGACTTAACATGGGACCGAGTCTGGAGAAGTAAAAATTGAGTAACTACCCTTTTTTACCCAGTATGAGATCTGTAATGTGAAAAAAAAAATTTTAAAAAAAAAACAGAAAACTTTTTTGCTCTGAACAAAAAAAAGAAAAGAAAAAAAAAAAAAAAAACAACTTGACATCTTCTTCTAGTTTTCTGGGGGGGGGGGGGGGGGGCGGGGGTTTTTTTTTTTTTTTTTTTAGGATCTCATTTACACAAAACAAACAGTTTATCATATAAATTTAACAACTAAAAATAGAGATCCTTAGGTTTAACAGAAGAAATCTTCTAGTTTTTAAGTGTTTAGCAAATTATGTTAAATTATTTTTGAAAATCTGTCTCGACAGTAAATTATTTTAAGCCCTGCTATAATCTGTCCAGAGCATATCCAGTACCCACATGTCAAATTTCATCTTTCTTAGGGAATTCTAGAAATAATATTTTTTGGTTTTTAGTTGGTTTAATAAACGTATTAATTGACAATAGTTCCTCTTTTGGTGTTGGAGAATGGAAAAATATGGGCAATACATATCATTTTCATAATTGTTTAGTAAAGACAGATCACAGACTTTTATAAATCTATTGTTTAAAAAAAAATGACTTGTATGTTTTTTTTTTTAAATGACTTGTATAAATCTCTAATAGCCAATTAGACCCCTTTTTTCAAATTCTAAAGAGGTATTTTTGGTGGATTATAGATTTTGGAAAGTATATTGCATTATTGCACATGCAATTACGTGCAAATTTTGCTAATCTGCTAATACCTAGTGAAGTAGTCAAATTCTTTGGCCAATTTTTTTAGTTTACATTTGGTCTCTTTTTCAGAGTTGTTTAACAGATTAAACATATTTTTTGAATAGACTCCAAATCGTGTTCAACTTGGATAGCTACATTTACATTTCTAATTTTTATTCTTGTCTAATGATGGAGCACATTAATTTAAGGACCAAATAAAGTCTGTCTAACAGAAACATCGGCTTGGCCCTTTTATTGGAGAAGATAATGGGAAGGAAAGAGAGGGGGGGAAATAAAAGTGCCCTTTAAAATTAAAGTTGAATATAAAAATGTTAAACAAAACTTAAAAGAAGAGGAAGAAGAAGAATGAAAAGGGGTTATTGAACTGTAATGGTGGTAGCCTAATGTGGTATTAGAGTTATTCCTAATAGTTTGGTAGATAAGAGGTGTTGAAGAAAGGGGTGGAAACCCGTTTGTAAGCAAAGGAAATAGAACAAATTTGAGTTTGAGGCATGAAGATTCCTGTTCTCAGGTCTTATTTGTCCTACACTGCGTATAGTTTACTAAGGGATGTTTCAGACAAATTACAATACAACAAATCCTGAATTCAATAACTAGTAATATTATTGAATTTCAGAACAAATGATGAAACTGATCTCAGTTTAGAGCGTTTATTTATAGTCAAAATCATGCATGTTCATGAATGGGTGCAACTGTAACAGTAAATACGTTTAGTACAACAAATAGATCAACAGATCATATTAAAATTGTTTACATTTTGTTTTGATCGTTGAATCGTGTTACCCGATCGAATCAACGGCTTGTTTCTTTTTTTCCATGTGGGACTTTTGACTTTCCATCTTCGGAATCTTATATAGAAGTTATTGAGACTATTATTCACTTTTCAGACTACCAGCTTAATGTCCACTAGTCATCTGTGGGTCAAACCCAGCTTTCTTTGTTTCAATGTAATGCTTTACTGGCTGTTGTACTGCGTAATAAAGAGAGAGTGACATATTCCAAACCCCACTTATAATATCTAATTTCTCTGTGTAATTTACATTTGCACGGACAAAAATATTAGCTTCTATCAACATTTCATTGTGTCGTTTTTGTTTCCACTCTGTTAAAAAAAAAAAAAAATGACGGATTCATTAAGTTCAATTTATTGGTGGTTGCTTTCACGCTTAGAAGTCGGTTCCCGCGGCTAGATTAAAAAGGCTTGATCCTTTCTTTAAGGAACTAAAAAGCTCACTTTTGGATGTTGTGCTTGATCAAGCACTTTTTGTAACTTCAAATGGGAAAATGAATTATAAGTTTTATGCAAAAAATAGGATCTATTTAGCTATTCCATTAATACTAAGCGAAATATAGGCTTGGAAGTTGTATGAAAATCAATTGGCAAATGACATATAGTAGCTTGCAAGTCTAGTGCTTAGAGGCTCTTTGCTTTAAGTATTTCCATCAAAAGTTTATAATTAGTGCCACAAGAATGGAAATAGCCATCCTAAGGATGCCATGCATGAATAAAGTTATAAGTCACGTCAATCATACTCACTTTTTTTCACTTAACAATCATATTCTAAACTCTAAATACACCGATGTCATAACTTTAGAAAGAAAATGTAACGTATAAAAAAATACTATATATCCTATCGATAGAACATATAAGTGTTAAATAATCATCATCAAGTTTCCGCAAATTAATCATATTTTTTTAATTTATTAAAAATCTTAAATGATTTGACAGTTTAAAATCGTATCTTATTTGGGAATTATAACCTATTACATGATTAAATTAGACGTAAAATAATGCTTGCTAATTGCTAATAGTTTATCCCGTAATTCATCTAGTTTATTTCATTTCATATCGGGAATAGGAAAGGCCAAACAGCAAAAGTATACAACAACTTTAATTGGCTATATATGTAGCTATAGAAGTAGCCTAGCTAGGCATGTAGGTCCAAACTTATAGCTATGTCCATTATCCAATCCGGCTCATTATTGGCATGTACATAGTAACATATACAATGGTAACATTAATTGTAAGGTACAATGTTAGATATTGTTTTATCATTGTCAATAAGATGTTTCGAGAAAGTTTAGCTGGACAAATCACGAGTCTATAGTGGATTCATATCCGATGTTGTCCAAGAATATGGTTCACGGGAGACATGAGAAATATGGTTCACCCCTTCACCATATTATTATGGAGGCTTCCTATAATTAGAATAGGCAGCACTAGTCACTACAAACCTATTGGAAATGAAATATTGATCGTGTTTAGAATTAATATTGTTTTTATTTTTCACATTTTTTAAGAAAGAAAAAATAAAAACGTTTCTAAAACAGCGTTTGACACAATAAAGACAGAAAACAAAAATAAAAACGATTTTTTAGTTTAGTGTAAAATAAGAGAGAAATGAAAAATGACTTTTAGTCATTTTTTATTTTTTGTTTTCGTTTTCTCATCTCTCGAGGGAGAAATAGAGAGAGATATTAATGGGTTTTTTTATACTGAAAATAATTTATTGATAAAATTATCAAACGCATTTTCAAAAATGATTTCTGTTTGAGATTGAAAACGTTTTTATTTTCAGTTTCATACAAAAAATAAATCATTTTGAAACGAGTTTCAAACATGCCCATTATTTTCCGTCTTTCACATGCATAGTTCTAAACGGAAAAAAAATTAATATATATTATTGTAGTACTTAGAACAAATCTCTCATAATTGTTTGTCAATTAATATGTATGTCCTACATAATTAGTATATTCACGTAGGAGCAGAGCCGGCTCAACCTCTGGGCAACTTAAGCAATTGCCTAGGGCCCCACATTTTTAGGTATTGATTAAGGCCCCATTTTTTTAGAAGTTGAAAGTTGAAACAACAAATAGCCTATTTTTTAGGCATTATTAGATTATAAATTTTAAAATCTTTTAATTATGCATTAAAAGTCCTTGATTTTAGGGATTTCAAACGTCCAAAATGGAGCATAAATCGTCCAAAAAAACAAAAGAAAATATTAGGTGGATTACTTTCGAAAATTGAAACGTTCTCTAACATCAAATAACTTTGTTTTTTAAGAATGATTAAAATGGTTTAATAGCACATTTCAAGTTCAAATAGCTTAATTTAGATAAGCAAAAGACTTTTTTCTTTTCAAAACAAAATATAAACAGACAACGTTGTAGGAGAAAATTTAGGATATTCTTTTTTATTAATTTTAAATAATAGTGAAAAATCCTATTATTGTTTCACTTAAATAGATACTTACTTTTATCTATTTTTACTTTAAAAACCCAATTTAACTTTATATCATTACCTCTCTTTGTCTCTCACTACTTCAAATACTTAATCATCAACATTCTTTTAAGAGATTTTAAGAAAAAAGTAGAGAGAATCATTGAAAATTCATTTAAAAATTATCATCTAGGTTGAACGAGTTTTGAACTGTTTGAGTTCATAAATCTTTCATTGCAAACTATATCTTTTTTTTTTTTTTGCACATT